ACAGCGGCTCCAGCGTCTCCGCAGCAGATCAGGGACCGGCTGCTGCAGGCCATCGACCCGCAAAGCAACGTAAGTGCTCGCTGCGCGGGCCGGGACCGAGGCCTCGTGGGCCCGGGACCCTCCCCCTCTTCAGTATCCCTCATCCTCCGGGCTTCCGGGGACCCGTCCGAGGCCCACCTCTCCCTCGGGGCCGCTGCCATCCCATCCTCTCGCCCCCTGGGCCGGGGCCGGAGGCGCTCGGTACGTGAGGCCGAGGCTTCCGTGCGGCCTTGGTGGAGGGAGCAGAGAGGACCTGAAGCCAGAGCTTTGCCTCCCCTCCCGATCTAGCTGTATAGCTCTTGCTGCTCCTGACGGAGCTTACCCTCCTTGCCCTTCCCCCGAGACCCCCTGGATACCCTCCCGGCGTGGGGGAGGGGAGGGAGAAAGGCTTTGGAGCAACTGGTGTCTCGGGTATAATTCGGGGAGCCCTTGCCACCCGTGTCTCGGTCTTCTGGGTGATCAGGGAAGTCTTCCTTCCCTCTTCTTCTGGCTGAAAGTACACTGACTTCGGAGGGAAACCCCCCGGCCCGTTTTGTCCCTAGCCGGGTGCCCAGGGCGCCTAGGGAGGCCCCCGGGTTCTGCGAGTGGCCATGCCTTTGCCGGATCCCTCTTGGGGTCGCTTCCTACAGAAGGTGATATTGGGGAAGGTGGGATCTTTCATGTTGCTTTTCTGGGCCTAACTGCCCATTGCGTCTCTGACCAAGCCAGAGTCCCGCTTTTTGGTAGGGAATTGGAGGTGATTCTTTTCTATCTTCAAGAGCCCTGTTTCGGCTGTCCCTTTCCCCTACCTGGGGGTCCCAGCCTGGCGGTTTGTGACCTAGGTCAGGATTAACCTCAGGGTGTCTCTCTCTCAGATGTCCCTCCACTGAGGCTGTTTGCAGAGGGATCTCCCCTGCCCCCTCCGTAGGGGAAGACTCATGGCGTTCTCACATATTATCCAAGGGGTTCTTGGCGATAGGGGTCATTTTCCCCTTGGCAGGAGCAGGTCGAGTAATGGGAAGATGGTATCCAGGTATGAAGTGAGCCCCTGCATTTGCTGGGAAACTAGGAATCACTTTTTAACATGCTGGGGATGGAAGGACAAATCATCTTGGGCTTGGCCAGGTAACTTGGGTTTCTCTCACTGTTGGGGCTTTTGCTTTTCCTTTATGTGAGCTTGGCTAATTGCTCTGAGTATGTATTAGCCGATTTTCTAAAAATAATTCATGTTGGATTGTGCAGTTTTGGTAGAAATTGAATTATTATCTGCTCTGTATTATAAGTAATTATCTTATCCCTGGTCTTCAGGCCCCATTAAGATTGACTTGGTGGAAATTACCTTTAACAAATGTTGTATACATTTTCGTTAGGATTTTGGGGGTGGAGTAGGCACAAGCTATATAAAACCTTCCAGAATTTTTGCAGTAACTGGTACCACCACAATTCTCAAGACTGAAATATTAGAGGATAAAGCAAGTGACATGAAAATTGTCAACCTTGGTGGCTTTTGCATCTTTTGTGGAATCTGAGTGCAATTTCTTGAATTCCCGGTGCTTGTTTGCCTTTGGGAGAATCTGAGAGTGGCTGAGATGTTAGCACTGATCCTTAATGCCACCTAGGAGAGCTTTGGGATCTGAGGGTGCTTTGACAGGTGGTCATGATTTTGCAGATTAGGTGGAACAGTGATCTCAGGGGTTATAGTGTGTGTAAGGCTTTAATCTAGAAGGCTCCTAGGAATAGGGGAGGAATAGGGGCTAGGCAGAATCTGGAAGAGGGAACAAATCTCAGCTTCATGTATCCTGGTGCATGCGGGAACATTGCATCCATATGAGCCAATAACTGTGTTACATGGCATAGACTTCACATTTCATGTGGCTTGCTTTGGAGAACTCTAGTGATAGGTATGTATAGAGTCCTGCTACATAAGTATGATGGATGTAATTGGGAAATTGTCTCTTTGAATATGAGTGATGAGGAAAATACCTCCTTTAAATGCTTCCATTGTTAGTGTTCGTGAACAATTGTTAATAACCATTTGACTAGAGCATGGCTTGGAGCAAACCTCATGTAGAAACTCAGAGCCATGGCAGGTTGCGGGTGGAGAATGTGCAACAGTATGGCCAGGCTGTAGTTCTCTTTTGACTTGGGCTCAGGTGAGAGTGGGGTGGCTCCAACAAGGCACTGCCTCCACACAGCTGCTCTTCTCTGCCTTACCCAATTATGAACTCCACTTCTGGTTAGTTGACACATATTTAAGATGCTCATGGAAAAAAAAATGGGGACAGAGTTGAAGAGCCAACACTAAAATTAAACGTCTTCTGAGAAAAGCAACACAGAATTGTGTCATGTAATGCTTACCTTTATAGGCATGTAGTTATGGTTAACAGCTTTTGCTTGAAAAATCAATGTCAGGCAGCTGACCTAATATCCACAAGTATCTGAAAAGTTAGGGAAGTAACAAAGTAACATTTACTGACCATCTCCTTGACAAAGGAGTTCTTAGGAGGAAAGTTGTTTCTTTGCTCTAAATTCTAGCCTCTGGAGTATTTGAATTTCTGTAGCATCAGGCTCTGAGTTAATAATTTCTATCAACTCAGTACTGAAGTAAATCCTCTACACTCCTTTTCAAATAGCAACTAATAGTTTTTCAGAACAAAGCCTTACTCTTCTGGTGGTGTGTAAACCCAGAGTATTGACAGTCTCCCTGAAGTGCAGTGTGCTCATTTGTTCCAGCTTAATCTTGCTTCTTTGTGGATGAAGTTGAGGGCAGTGTCTTCTCCTGCCCAGAAATCAGAGTTAGTCTACCCTGCACAGTCTCTTCAGCAGGTGATTAGGTTCCTGCTTGTATGGGACACTCATTGTTTCACAAAAGTTCAGGCTTTGTGTTCCTGACCAGAATGCAAGTTTCATGAGCATGGTTTGTTTCTTATCTTCTCTCTCTAGAGCAGAAGCATTAGGTGTACCTTCTAAGTGCTGGTTAAACTGACTGACCCCTAGAATCATTCTTGGACCTATAACTGAGGAGCTACATTTGAGCTCTCTTTTACAACAGAGTGACTGCTATAAGCCCAGAGGTTCAGTCATGGAATATTCTAATGCAGAATTCTGCAGAGATGTAAAGAACATGGATGTTCATCTGGCATCTGAGAAAAGGTCTGACTGAGATGGTGGAGCAGGTACTGAAGCCCCATGACCAGCTGAATAACAGCACAAGGCAGGCCTTGCTCAAAGCAGGGAGAGGCCAGAGGAGGCACTGCAGGGGAAAAGGGACTTGAACTCGCTCTGGACGCCAGTGTAAATGCCTACCAGCTGTCAGGCTCTTCAGCAGGAAACTTCAGGCATGACTTTCTTCCTCACAGTTCTGCAGACATCAGGTTCCAACAGGAGGTGACCAAGGGGCCTCTGCAGAAAGAAGGATAATTTTCCCACCTAGGAATTTGAAGGTTAAGATGCTGCTTAGGCCTGGCCGGTGTGGCTCAGTGATTGAGCATCAACCCATGAACAGGAGATCAGGGTTTGATTCCTGGTCAGGGCACATGCGGAGTTGGGGCTCAATCCCCGGTAGGGGGTGTGCAGGAGGCAGCCAATCAGTGACTCTCTCTCATCCTTGATGTTTCTGTCTCTTTCCCTCTCTCTGAAATAAAAAGAAAAAAAGATGCTGCTTAGTTTCCCTGGGCTGCAGGTTCCTCACCTGCAAAGTGGAACCTGGGGACTGGAGTATGTGCCCCATAAAGCTCCTTCCCTATCAGGTTATGGAAAGGGCAGCCGAGGCTAACATGAATTGTTTTAAAAGGTTTTTCCTTTTAATGTAACACTCATTGTGTGAACTTTCTAGACTAACGAAGTTCTACATAGATATATATGCTTCACGTGACGTTTTCCAGCACTTTAATAGCATCTCCTACTTCCCCTCAACAACCGTGTAAGGAAGGTGAGCTGAGTGACCTGTCTCCCCTTTCTGCACAGTGACAATACATGCTGCTTAGTGAGTGTCTCCTGTATCCAGGAAAGGACAAGATGCTTTTGTTACTTACTGACTTCATGTGAGGTGACTGCCCCAACATTAGGGCCTTCTTCAAAGTTACTAAGTAACATGCTTCCAACTCTAAATGCCACCACACTGCTCTCAAAGATGGAGAGATGGCTTTGAAGAGGCCCAAGAGGGCAGTGTCCTTGAGCTGATAAGAAAAGATGTGGGAACCTCTTCTCTCCCACACAAGTTTATATGCGACTCCCAGATAGTTGGGTTAGATTTACCTGTGCCAGATCTAACAGGTTGACGATATTAGGCAGCCTGTCCCAGAAACATCTTAAGGTTTCTATCAGGACAGAATCCTGGGCCAGACCACACTGTAGTGTGGCAGTTGCCAGCTGACATGGAACTTTTCATGAGTCTTGTTCCAGCTTTGTTTTCTGCTTCCAGATTACAGCAGTTTTGATGTTAACTTAAAACGCCATTGATTCTGCAGAAAAGAGAACTCTTGTGAAATGGAATACTGTTCTCATTCTCTCCAATATATTAGAGGATATGAAATCTAAACATGTCTCTGCCTGATCACACTGTTGCCCAAATTCAATGACATTCCCGTCTTTGCTCTTTATACTGTAGCCAGGATCCATGGGGAGAGCAGTGTGGCGTTTTATGACTGTGGGAATAGGCAGGTAACAAATGTCTATTGTGAAGCAGGTGTGTATCCTTGTGACACTCTCCCTCAAAAGGTGGACTTTACATTTCATCTTCACGGAGGTTTCTGGGTGGTCCTCAGAGGTGGCTTTAATTGGAGTATGTTGTCCTGACAGAAGGTTACGGAGGCCTAGAGGACTGTCTAAGATCAGCCTGTGGGAAGGGGTTTTCGTCCTGATAGAGTTTTTAAAAGGCACCACGGTCACCTGGGCTCCTGGGCTCCCGGGCTCAAGATGCAGCTGTGTGTGGCAGAACACACACCCAAAGGGTTCCAAACTCGGGTTAGGTGTAGGAGGGGAGTTGTGCTCGCCTATGGCTTGATTTTGGTGTCCTTGTGGGCATCTTCTCAGATGGAGCTCCAGTTTAA